AAATTAACTGATTTATGAGGCCATAAAGAAGACTCCAGCAAAGCATTCCAGCGAGGAAGCATGCGGGGAATGAGGAAGTGCTTCATCAGCATCACAGATGGACAATGAAAGCGACAGCTCCCCTGGCGGCCAGAAAAAGTTAAATAGCCTCTGTGTATGTCTGTATATGTTTGTATGTCAAAAATTGGCATTGAATGTTTGCCATATATGTGTACACTGTAATCCGCCCTGAGTCCCCTGCGGGGTGAGAAGAAGGGCGGAATATAAAAGCTGTAAATAATAATAATAATAATAATAATAATAATAATAATAGTAATAGTAATAATAGACCCTTGAGAAATAAGACAGAAACCCAAAATCTTTTAAGAGGTTATTGAAACTCCTGTAGCTGGTATTTTTTAATCTTAATTGCTTGCCTTCTTAATAAAGTGAAGTATTCCTCATCCAGGTACATATATTTGCTCATTGATTCTTGTAGCATGATCCTATGGAACGCATGGAATGCAGTAGTTATATCCGAGTAAATATACATAGAGAGATCATGTTCATTGTCCTCAGATCCAACAGAACTGGAGTGTTTCTCAGCCAGAAGAGTGACTGATGGGAATATTTATCTGATTCCCAGGAATTATTAGTTTCTAGCTCAATATGAATGAAACTCAAGCTAAGTTGAGACAAAAACAAAAGGCTGATTTTCCCTAATCCGGAGCTACTGCTTCCTGTGCCTTCATTTCATATTCCAGTTGGTCTCAAGTGTATGAGGTTTGTGTTGGAAGATAATGAATAGTTTCATCTAGTTTCACAAAGGAGTTTTCTATATTTTACTTTGCTTTATCCAGTTCTCTGGAGGATTTCAACTCATTTATTATGCTGAACTCATTTTATATGATTCATCTTCATGATGCTGAATAGCTTTTTTTCCTGATCTCAGCTTAAAACAAGAGACCCATTTCAATAACACAGTTCTTATTTCTTTCCCAACCATACTGCTTTTTAGTGTTGTGAGTAGTGAGTTGCTAGAGTTTCCCTCATAATGAAATTCTAGCTTTCAGAGGAGAAAACTTAACAAAATGATTACAGAGGAATTTCCTCCATTCAAAATGCTACTGCCTAGAATTATAGAGTTAGAACTGACCACAAGGGCCATCCAGTCTAACCCTCTGGTTTTTAAAAACCTCCTAGGAGGGAGGCTCCAGCATACACTGAGGAGGTGTTTTAAACTGCCAAACAGCTCTTAGAATCATGGAATCGTAGACTCATAGAGTTGGAAGAGACCTCATGGGCCATCCAGTCCAACCTCCTGCCAATAAGCAGGAAAATCGCATCCAAAGCACTCCCGACAGATGGCCATCCAGCCTCTGTTTAAAAGCTTCCAAAGAAGGAGCCTCCAGCACACTCCGGGGCAGAGAGTTCCACTGCTGTTCAGCAGTGGAACTCTCTGCCCCGGAGTGTGCTGGAGGATCCCGCAGTCAGTTCTTCCTAATGTTCATATGGAATCTCCTTTCTTGTAGTTTGAAGCCATTGTTTCACGTCCTAGTCTCCAGGAGCAGAAAACAAGCTTGCTCCCTCCTCCCTATGACTTCCTCTCACATATTTATACATGGCTATCATGTCTCCTCTCAGCCTTCTCTTCTTCAGGCTAAACATGCCCAGTTCTTTAAGCCGCTCCTCATAGGGCTTGTTCTCCAGACCCTTGATCATTTTAGTTGCCCTCCTCTGGACACATTCCAGCTTGTCAATATCTCTCTTCAATTGTGGTGCCCAGAATTGGACACAATATTCCAGGTGTGGTCTAACCAAGGCAGAATAGAGGGGTAGCATTACTTCCCTGGATCTAGACACTATGCTCCTATTGATGCAGGCCAAAATCCCATTGGCTTTTTTTTTGCCGCCACATCACATTGTTGGCTCATGTTTAACTTGTTGTCCATGAGGACTCCAAGATCTTTTTCACACGTACTGCTCTCGAGCCAGGGCAAGGAGGGGGGAGGGTTTGTGGCTTTAGGCCCCCCACCAAATTCTCAGTTGCTGGAAAAAACGGCCTTACTGTTACATTAATTTAAAACATGTGTATATGTTTATTCATAATCATTGATATGAATTCACCACCTTCTCAGTATACATCTGTCTCATATAATAAAGAAAAAAGAACGCCTATAGGGAGTAAAATTTAGTATTGGGGTAAATAAACAATCACACAAAAACCAAGAATTATTTGAAACCTTTTAAAGGACTCGACATCCGACCATTAACACACCCCCACCCTCCCCCCGATCAAAATCCTGGCTACTGGCCGAAACATAGTCGCCCATATAAAAAGCTCTATACAGTTCTGGCCCAGCTTACTTGTCTGAACGCATCCACCCCTATGTCCCACCTCGTAATCTAAGATCATCCAGGGAGGCCCTGCTCTCGCTCCCGTCAATCAGCACAGATGCGTCTGGCGGGGACGGGAGACAGGGCCTTCTCGGCTGTGGCCCCCCGCCTATGGAACACACTCCCAAATGAGGTAAGATCCGCTCCCTCCCTCCTGACTTTTAGAAAAAAAATAAAATCATGGTTTTGGGACTAGGCCTTTGGGCAGTAGAAGTAAATGTATACAGCATTTCAGGAAGACAATGACTGGAATGGCAATTTGATGAACGAGACTGTTTTATTGTTTTAATGATTGTTTTATTCCTTATGTATGTATTCTTTTAATTTTATTTATGTTTAATTGTAGTGTATAATTGTAATTGTTTGTACTGGCATTGAATTTTGCCATTACTTATGTGTAAACCGCTTTCAGTCCCCCTCGAGGTGAGAAAAGCAGTATAGAAATACTGTAAATAAATAAAATAAATAAGATCTTTTTCACACGTACTGCTCTCAAGCCAGGCATTGTCTCCCATTCTGTATCTTTGCATTTTGTTTTTTCTGCCAAAGTGGAGTATCTTGCATTTGTCCCTGTGGAACTTCATTTTGTTAGTTTTGGCCCATTTCTCTAATCTGTCAAGATCGTTTTGAATTTTGATCCTGTCTTCTGGAGTATTGGCTATCCCTCCCAATTTGGTGTCGTCTGCAAACTTGATGATCATTTTACAAATAATCTTATTGTGCATATTGTAGCTGAACTACAATGTTGCAACAGCTGTGCAAAGTCCCAGGTGAAGGGAAGAGATATTGTGTGCCATACGCCATACTTTTAGCAGCTAAGTAGTTCCACCACACATCAGCCCTATTCACCTCTCATAGCTGAAGACCATCAGTCTTCACTAAAGGTGAAACAAGAAAGAAAAACAAGGGGAAAGGAGAGGTTATACTCAAACTACTTTGAAGTTATACTAAGGCACAAAACCTATTATCGGCATGGTTGAAGGACTGTCAGCTATAATAAGGTGAGTCAGTGCTATAGTACTACCCTATATTGTAGATGGATTAGAAGGAAAGTCTAGCCTAAAACCACTTTGGGAAATGAGAGATGAGTTGAGATGTAAGTCAGATTTGTAGCTCACTTTCTTGGCCACTTCACTTCACTAGCTCCCAATTTATTTCTGCAATCAAACATCTAAGATACCTTTGGCAGTGTGTTCATGAGAAGGTTATTCCATATTAAAATCAAAGAATCATAGAATCAAAGAGTTGGAAGAGACCTCATGGGCCATCCAGTCCAACCCCCTGCCAAGAAGCAGGAATATTGCATTCAAAGCACCCCTGACAGATGGCCATCCAGCCTCTGTTTAAAAGCTTCCAAAGAAGGAGCCTCCACCACACTCCAGGCAGAGAGTTCCACTGCTGAACGGCTCTCACAGTCAGGAAGTTCTTCCTCATGTTCAGATGGAATCTCCTCTTGTAGTTTAAAGCCATTGTTCCGCGTCCTAGTCTCCAGGGAAGCAAAAAAACAAGCTTGCTCCCTCCTCCCTGTGGCTTCCTCTCACATATTTATACATGGCTATCATATCTCCTCTCAGCCTTCTCTTCTTCAGGCTAAACATGCCCAGCTCCTTAAGCCGCTCCTCATAGGGCTTGTTCTCCAGACCCTAGATCATTTTAGTCGCCCTCCTCTGGACACATTCCAGCTTGTCAATATCTCTCTTCAATTGTGGTGCCCAGAATTGGACACAATATTCCAGGTGTGGTCTGACCAAGGCAGAATAGAGGGGTAGCATGACTTCCCTGGATCTAGACACTAGACTCCTATTGATGCAGGCCAAAATCCCATTGGCTTTTTTTGCCGCCGCATCACTTTGTTGGCTCATGTTTAAGTTGTTGTCCACGAGGACCCCAAGATCTTTTTCACACGTACTGCTCTTGAGCCATGCGTCCCACATTCCATATCTTTGCATTTCGTTTTTTTCAGCCTAAGTGGAGTATCTTGCATTTGTCCCCGTTTTGTTCATTTTGTTAGTTTTGGGCCATCTCTCTTTGTTGTTGTTCATTCATTAGTCGTTTCCAACTCTTCATGACATCCTGGGTATCACTACATGAGTATTGTCTTATCCCTCCACGTGATAGTTGTGTGTCGTCTTACCAAACACTGAATGATCATAAAAAAAACGCCCTTCTAGTCCTTCATGCGAAGATACATTAATAAGATGATTGAAAGACGTAAGGCAGAACCACAGAAAGACCAACGGAATGGATGAAAACAACTGCAGCACACTTAAGACTCCTCCTCGTCCACCTATCCTTAAAGCCCAAAGATGAAGCAAGGAAGCATTATAGGAGAATCACCCTCTGGTTCGTACCATAATATGTCCAATTAACATAAAATTACACAACCACCACCATAAGAACACAGTTTATGCCTAGCCCATCCTTGAGAAACTAAGTTTGTGTTTAAAGCTCCTTCATAGCTATGAAGTGTGGTTGCTAATCCCCTACCAAGACAACAATGTATGACTATGTATGTGCTATTTGTCAAATACTGCATAAGAAGAAATACAGCTTCTATATATAATTGAGTAATTATTGGCCACATGGACAAACCCAACTTCCAAAGAGAAGACAGCTTGATATGGCGTAATTAGTGGCGCCACATGGCAAACCACTTCCATGAACAAATTGCCACGTGGGCAACCTCCAAACAGCTGTATTTTCCTGGGACTGCCATACAGCTCAGGAAATTCAAGTCCTTCTGAAAATGCCTTCACAGTAATGTTGCTAACAATATAATCCATATGGATCAACATGTTATTATACCTTTACAAATCGTTTGTGCTCTACCATAACTCTCCTTCTAGCAGCCTAGAGTACCAAAGTAAGGGCGAGACTAGCATAAACCATGCTACCAGAAAACAGTGAGTCTCCTTTAGATGTAACATACCATCAGAACATATTGATCAACATGGAAGGGGAAGAAAAGATCAATGCTAGTAACATTCTGAAATAAGTGAGCATAGAGCTCTAGCTATCCATGCCCACACACCTGTCTATTCCATGGGATGCAATCTGGAAATATAAAGCCTGAGATCCAGAAAGGTTAATCACGTTTAAGGGCTGTCGTTTGTAACAGAACACACTGAAAAAAACCCACCAAGAAAATCACCCACCAAGAAAACCAACAAATGCTACATCTTTCAGGCCAAAGGAAACAAAAGAGAGGAAATCCTCACCTATCCTACAATCACTTCTGCAGGAAGGTTATAAAAAACACACCAGTAGTACCACCAAATGCCGCTAAGTAGTACCATCTTTCTATGACAATCATAAGGGAACCTACATAGCCAAAACAGACAGTCCGCAATTGCACACACAAAAACAACGAAATCAAGGACAGGAAAGCACTGTGAGACTAAAAGACTATAATTCAACCAGAGAACATCATAAACCATAAACAGAAGACACCTGATGCAAACCAACCTGATACACAGCATTTTATTATGAGAACACAGACAAAATCCTGAACTCCAACTCTCAACTAGAGAAAACACTACTAACCTTCATAGACTACACAGAAAGCCATTTGCAAACAATATCCACAAGCAGGTGGAAACAAATTTCACAGAACAGAGAGAGAAAAACCTATCATCACACATGAACACAATCTTTGCTACAGATCATTAAAAACTCTAAAAACATTGGCAACATCTAACAGCCAACAAAAGAGATGAAAAGCATGGTAAAGACAATCTACATTACCAAAAACAATCTCAACAAAACAGATTTGCTTCCAGATCACAGAAATCATAAACCCATATGTAAGCTAATCAAGGTGAGTCAGATTTCCAAACAATTACACAAAAAAAAAAAAACACAAAGAAAAGACACAACACATAGCAATCCAGCAAATACACAATATAAATACCTATTTTCTCACACCTAGTCCATTCCCAGACCACAGACATATACAACACTACCACCCCTTTTCCATAGTCCAAACAGAATACCTCACTCCATCTGCATATGCTTTCCATAGATGCAACCTAAAATAGCAGAAATTATCAGGGCGAGGAATGCCTCATAGACCCATGACCATACACAAGGCCCGGAAATAAAACCTACACAAACCCGTGTTATCACAGGCATGAAATCAGCTCATATCGACACTACCTAAACTGCAAAAAATCCTATTGTTACATAATTATTATGTTATATGTCATGGATTGTTGGATAGGATCCCTTCTGAAGTCTTTTGATTAAAAACTAAAGATAGAAGATCTTTCTGCATTTTGTAGTGATTAATTCCATTAGGTTATGATGCATCTTGGTGGTAGTGGATTCCTCACCTCCCAAATCATTCCTGTGACCAAACAAGTGCTTACCCCACTGTTCTTTGGGATTGGTGGGTTGCCATGCCTGGTGTATTCAAGTGAATACACTTTGGGCGGTGTTGTCAAGAAATAAACCCTAGATTCAACTGACATGAAATATAACCCACTGCAAAAAATAAAAATAAAAAAATCTCACTGCCATAATAGATTTTTCAAAAAACTATTTTAAAAATCCTAATGAAGGAGAACATTCAGATTCAGTAAAACCCCAGAAACAGAATAGAGAGCAAAAGCCCTAGGCCTCTATGCTTGTGTTTGAGTAGTATATTTTTGTCTTGACATGCCTGCTCAGTGATCTTTAAGGTTCAGAATGGAGAGGCCTTTCTGAGATCAAATGTGGTAGGCTTAAAAATTCCTAAAAATAGATGGCTTACTGATCTGATATGAATGAGGCGATTTCTTTTCATAGGTTCACACTTGCAGACTTCTTGGGCTGATCACTGCTTAGGGTTATGTGTATTCAAAGATTTGCTTTATTGCAATAGTAGTAGAACAACTCAAGAGGTCTTCAGTTGAAAAGGTCTTGTGATTTGTCAGCCTGGGAAGACTGGCTTTGCTTGCGAATACTAACTTGACTTTCTTAACATTCCTTATTTGGTGGAAACACATTCCTGCAATACGAAAGTGTGGAGTTACACATGTTTTAAACAAATACAGAACATGACCTAGTTTGCTACGCCTGTCATCATTGGTAAAGAGTCTGGGAGTCCTTTTGGACCCTCTGCTGACGATGGAGGCCCAGGTCTCCGCCGTTAGCAGACCACCTTCTTTTAACTGTGGCAGGCTAGACGGCTGGCCCCCTACCTGTCCAGGCACCGACCCTATGCTGTGGTATATAAAGCCCAAAAAATAACGGATCTCTAATTCAAGACATAGGAAACGCAAAACATAATGGTAAAATGAGACCCTATAACAATTGGCTTCCTACTGTTTGTGTGAATACCGGAAAAGCTGAAGATTAAGGTCATACAATACTTCAGCTGCTCGATCTACTTCTTGTGCGGAATTCCGAATGAGATATCGCAACACACATAAAAAACCAATCTTACTACAGCTGCATTGGTTACCAATTGAGCACCGGATCACTTTCAAAGTGATGGTACTCACCTTTAAGGCCTTGCATGGTCTGGGGCCGATGTACCTGAGGGACCGCCTCACCCCCTACCAACCCCAGAGATCCCTCCATTCTGAAGACCAAGATTTGTTGGAAATTCCCAGTGTCAAGACCTTGCGTCTAACAGCAACCAGACACAGAGCCTTTACAGCAGTGGCACCATCACTCTGGAATACTCTGCCACCTGAAGTCCGTGCCTTGCAGGACTTATCAGCTTTCCGCAGGGCATGTAAGACATATCTGTTTCGACAGGCCTTTGATCTTTGATATTGCTGTTTTTAAATTGTTTTAAATTCTGTTAGATTTTAGCCATTCTTGTAAGCCGCTCCGAGCCCCAGGGGAGTGGCAGCATAGAAGTTTGAATAAAATAATAAATAAACTGGTATTTGTGTTTGGAAATTACTTCCCTTCGCATCATCCATAGACCTGGAAGCCTATCATTGACCTTATCATGAAGACACTGGTAAAATGAATGGTAAAAAGACCACATTTATAGATTAGCCTGTAAAAAGTAGCCCTTGACTGTACATCTTTCTGAAGAAAACTCCAACAAGATATAAGTGGTCCAAAAGTTTGAGTGTCATAGGAAAGCAGTGGAATATCATCATTTAAAAAACACATATTTGACCTCATGCATCATTCTGTCTCATAGCTTTGGAGATCATGCAGTGCAAAATTACACATTTGTGACACATGTACTTCACTGTAATAAACACATGCCATTGGTGGAAAATATAGACTTTGTCATTACTGAATAGTCCAAGCTTCTAGACTTCCTCCTTTCATTTTTTTCCCCTCTTGATAATAACATGGCAATTTTTGGATCATAACAGAATTATAAAATACAGGGGTATCTTTTTTCCAGTGTGTTACAGACATCAGATAGTGGAATTTGGGGGAAAAAGTCTGTCCAGAAAGTGATATCAGATATTGTGTGTAAATGTGAACATGTACAGTCTATCAATCAGATGCTCTTACCTTAAATTCCTCCAAGATTTTATAACTTTTCCCATGATATTCACAAAAGTTCTTCACCTCTTTGCATTCTGGACAACATCCATTGTGTTCCACTTTAGTACACTTTGGGTGGATTTTAGGGCATTCGGGTTGGTCACAAACAGGCCCATCCTCAGTACAGACACATGGGCAGTTGGAATGCCCTGGAAAAAAACGCTCTCCCAGTTTGTATACAAATCCACTGTCATCGACACAACCTTTCCCTCGATAGTCATCAAAGATCAGGTTATTATCATTATTTGAGATTTGATCACCATCATCAGCAGGGTAGTCTTCATGGTTGAAGGCAGCTGGAGTAACCAAACCAGGAATTAGCAAGAGTAATATGCAGACTTCATGAATATGAAGAGCCATCCCCCTCCTCAATGTCTGCATAGGGTCCTAATGTCAGATATACACGGATGCTTCCATGGAGAGGCCAGGGTGATGAGCTGAAAGCAAATATTTTAAATAGGAACAATTTGAAATGTATAGATATAGATGTATATTTAAGGGCTTCTATGATATATGCCATGCACCTACTCATTAGAAACCCTTTCTACTAGCTCATCATCAGCTCTTGCACACAATACTGGAAAAGTTAAGTGGAAAATGTACACACAACTTGAAAAATCTCTATGCTACGGAGAAGTTTGTCTGTTGCCCAAAATTGGTGATTCACCTATTTTTATCTGGGTAGCAAGCATGATGTGTAGAGTTTGGCAATTCATGTGAATGCTTTTCACTAGCTGAATACAATAGTGTAAAGAAGAGCATCATGGGTCCATATGCCTTCAGCATTTCTCCAGAGGGTGTACATATTATCCTAACAAGAAAATTATAAATGAATGTCAATGCAAATTGGGTTGGACAACATGCCTGTTAGCCAGATAAGGTTAGAATTGATGTCTTTTGACATTAGTCATCTTCTACATGTTGAACACATTAGACAAAGCAAGCCTGCATACACTCAGCGGCTGAATAATGTATTTTGTTATGTACACAAACACAAGAATTTCCCTGATTATATCTGAATTGCCATTCATATTTGTTTACTCACTTATATCGGCGAGTCTTTACTAAATTGCTGATAGTGAAGTGAGCCAGTTTAAAGAATGGGATTTAGACCAAATTCCATAATTACTTCTACCTAACTGTAGTTTGCAAGCCAACACTGATTTCAATCCATCTCAAATAGTTAATTAAAACTAAGATGGAAGTATGTCAGGTGCTCTCATGAAAAGCAAAAGGTTAAGGAAAAAAGGGGGAAAACACACCGAAATGTAATTACATTTACACTTCAAATATGAAGAAAAAAAACTGTATTGATTCCAGTCCTAGCTGTGTAAAAAATTCTTCTGTTACAATACAATTATAGAAGAAAATGTTTAAATATGCATTCTAGGCCTCATCTACACTGCTGTTACAATGCAAACTGAACTATAATCATATAGTCATATAATCCAGTTTAGTGCAGTTAAACTAGATCATATGTGTCTACAGTGACCATATAATGCAGTTCAATATGCATTATAATGCCAGTGGGTATTTGGTCTTGTCTGTTCTTACTAATGCTTCATATTTAATTTTTCCCCTCTGAGGAAGAAAATTCCATTTTTTTTGTGGTGGTATTCATATGTACGAGGATCAAATACTGCTTGTATCAGAGTGCCTATGTTCACACATTCATTTATCATATAATTATCCATTTTTTTTACACTTTCCTTGCTCTATTTTATTAAGACAGCTGGTGGGAGCCTAAAATAAAAATGCAAATGCACAGTCAGTGTATGCAATGCAAATCCAAGAGGATCACAAAATGGTTTCAAAAGGCCTTGCCAAGTGAGTAACTGACATGCCTTCCTAAATGCACAGAAGACCCAAAGCATTCAGAAAGGAAAGAGTTCACACAATCATCTAATTTCAAAATAAACCTTGACTTTCCCCCAACTTTCCTTACATTTCTTTAGGTCTGTTCATATGCCCTTCCACAAACTCCAGTATCACCTTTTGTCCATGTCCCAGCATTATTTCCAATTTTAACCCTACATTTGGCCTTCCCACTGTTTTTAATTGTGTGTTGTTTTATTGATAATGTTGTGTATTTCATTGTCTATGTTTTTTAATTGCTTGTATTGTTGTTATTATTGCCTGTATTGTTGTGTTTGGGTTCGGCCTCATGTAAGCCGCACCGAGTCCCTTGGGGAGATGGTAGCGGGGTACAAATAAAGTTTTTATTATTATTATTATTATTATAATTTTTATTTGCCTACTAGCTGTGCCCTGCCACACATTGCTGTGGCCCAGTCTGTTGATCTGGAAAATAAAGTAATGAGAAAGTGTTGGTTTCTAATATATGTAAAATCTTTATGCTTGTGGGTAAACATTATTTCTTGTTGTTTCTTTGCCAGTGTTGATGTGGAGAGTGTTTGGTTTGCCTACTCTGGAATATGCAACATATCATAGTCCTTCTTTAGGGGTCCCTTTCAAATCTATGATACTATATCTGTGTGTGTGTGAATCATATCTATCTATCTATATTTATGACTGGATGGCTCTTTGTCAGGAGGGCCCTGATTACATTTTCTTGCCCTGGTGAAGAGAGTTGGACTGGATGGCCTTAAGTTGGTCATGAGGGTTCTGTGTGGGAAGTTTGCCCCATTTCTGTCGTTTGTGGGTTTCAGAGCATTCTTTAATTGTAGTGAACTATTAAAGAGCATTCTTTAATTGTAGTGAACTATTAAAGAGCATTCTTTAATTGTAGTGAACTATAAATCCCAGTAACTACAAATCCCAAATGTCAAGGTCTATTTCCTCCAAACTCCATCTGTGTTCATATTTAGGCATATGGAATTTTTGTGTCAAGTTTGGTCCAGATCCATCATTGTTTGAATCCACAGTGCTCTCTGGATGTAGGTGAACTACAACTCCCAAACTCAAGGTCAATGCCCACCAAAACCTTCCAGTGTGTTCTGTTGGTCATGGAAGTCCTGTATGCCATGTTTAGTTCAATTCCATCATTGGTGGAGTTCAGAATGCTATAAATCTATAAATCCCAGCAACAACAATTCCCAAATGACAAAATTAATTTTTTTTGAGTGAACTGGACTGTTAGGTGTCTTGTGTCCAAATCTGGTGTCAATTTCCCCAGTGATTTTTGAGTTCTGTTGATAGCACAAACTAACATTACATTTTTATTTATATAGATTATTAACTCAGCTTCTATTCTCCTGCTACTTCCCTATTACTATTGGCTGTACTCAATATTCTAACACTTTCATCAGTTTATACTGGCTTTGTTTTCTATTACTCCCCTAACTCAAGAATAGAAGAGAAAAAAGTGGTATGGATAGCTTTATTCTCTTGTATTAAACTAATCAGAAAACAGGTTTTCTAAAGATATAAAAAGAACATTACATGGATGAGAAGCATTCATATTTACTGACTATGGGGTGACAAAATTAAACAAGTGCCTTATTATTTTTTCTAAATTTTGCTTTTTGGAACCAACTATAGAACAGTGGTCTGTGTTAAACTATTGTTAAGATAACCAATATGTTCACAGTGCTTCTGTATGATGTATATGCAGACACTTACACAAGTTTATCAAGTAACAAAACCCTGCCAAACAAGAATGACTCAGGGAAAAGGATAGTCTTGCATCTTGCAGAACAACCTAAATCATTCTGTTGACAAAGCAGTTTTTTTCAGTGATGAGTGAGAAAGGGGAGGGAGAAAGATTGAGAGAGAGAGAGAGAGAGAGATTGGACGTTTCACAGCCCTGCTCAGAATATCTTATTGTTTCAAGCTCAGAATATGCTTTTAACACAACATTACGTCCAATGCTAATGGAGAAAGCATTTGTTTTAGCTATGGTGTTACGCGTGTGTCTCTAGTGTGGCAAAATCATTTCCCCTGCTTTTCAGCTCTTAGTGGGGAGTCACTAGCATGCTACAGGTAGGCTTCAGTCTGCCATGCTTAAAGCTGTGAAAACTTTAGAAAACCATCAAATTGCAAAGAAGATGTTTCTGCTGGGTACAGGCTTTACAATGAAAGCAAATCCCACAAAGGATCCAAATTATTAAATACACTTTCTTACAGGGCTGGATCATCTTAGCTATTATTGCAACAACTTCATCAGCCTACATTTGATGGAGAGAAGAGAAATGGGGTGGCATTAAGATCCATATTATAGATGGGGGGGGGGAACTCAACAAGTCAGCAAGCTCAGGAAAGCTATGAGGCTGCTATTTCATTGCATTGTTTCTTATTTATTTAATAACATAAAATGAAATTGTCATCTATTGACTTAAATCTTTTAAAAACAGTAGGTTGCTTTTCTTATGAGAGAAAAAAGTGTATAGTACTTACCTACTCAGGATGAAAGCTGAAAAGGGTCACAGGCTACCATGAATGTGAGAGAGAGAGCAATTTTTCCTCAATTACATTTTCAAGAAGGAATAATGGAAAAACCCCTTTCCCCCAAGCCTCCCATTTCACAGAAGCAATCCAACAGATACAGCATGAGATTTATGCTGGGTGATTCGGAATTCAAAGCAAGCCACCGTAGAAGGATCTGGAGTTGAGGCTGCCTTGTATCAAACCACACTCCCAAAACATGACCATGGTTGCTGGTGTCTTCGTTCAGTTCCTTGCCTGCAATCTTTAGCTCCACTCCAAACACCCCCAGCAGATCACTACCCTGTGTCGATCTGCAACAAGGCACACAAGGGTGGAGAGTATGCTACGCTCCCAATTCCAGGAACGGCAACAGTATGCTGGAGCTCAGAGCCAATCCCGACCGGAATGCAGTCAGCAGCCCCATCGTGTCTGTGCTGCTTCCCAGAGGCTCTTCCCAAAAGAAGCAGGCTTTGCTTGGGTCTCAGACACAGCAGCAACTTTGGGCAAGATTCAGCACCGCGGACAGCAGCAGCTGAGCAGCAGCAGTTTCTCCAGAGCGCATCCTGCCAGGCAGCTGGGAAAATTCAGCACCACGGACAGCAGCCAGCATTTCACAGGCGGAACGTGCTGCTCCTCTGAGCAAAGGAAACACATCTTGTGCCTCTACTCCATGGGACCACCATTTACCCTTGGCAGAAGGTATTTCCTAAACCACCAATGAGTATACATTACATCTTGCAACTCCCTTCTGTTTAAAGGGAAGAGGAGGAGAAAAACCTGTCAGCTTCAAGATATTAGTGCCAGACCAGACTGCAGGGAGACGTTCGAGGCAGTGACAGTGGGGAGGTGGAAGCTCTCTGCAGTTACTGAATGATGAGGCAAGGGTCAACGTCAAGGCACTGGTCTGAAACTTGTTCATTCTTGCATTGCTGCCATCCGGGGGATTTCTTCAGAACGTGACCACATGCAGAATATGTGCGTGTGTTGTGTATATCTGCATGCAGACAGAGAGAAGTCAATGCACCAAATGTAGATCTATTCCAGGGCTAGAAGAAGTGGAAGATATCATTGTTCTGTTGTAGCTTTTGCTGTACTACCTTGAAAGGGGGAGGGGGGGGGGAGAGGGAAACAATTCTCCTGCAATTCGTCTTCTCTGTCATTAGGCGTCATCGTAAAGCTATTTCTCTAGGAAAAGGCCAAATGACTGCTTTTAAAATACATTCCCTATAGGCAAACAAACAAGCATAGAGGCAAAAAGGCAGTTAAGACAGAAACATATATGTTTTAATTAAATGAAGATACAGAAACTTTGAATTATATGCTATTTCCTTTAAAATCTAGCATTTGAAGCTATCTCCAGTGCTAAGAAGTGGGGTCACATCTCATTTTCCTCTGAGCTGTGACCAAACAATAGCAAGTATCTTAGTTCCAAATTCGAATAGTGCCATCCGAGCCACCTGAAAGCAGGTGTTCTGCCTTGTGGTCAAACATGATGCTCTGAACTTCATCTTCATGGCCTACCAGGCTGGAAAGCTGCCCTGATTTGAGCTCTAAAGTCTTAACCGTTCCATCGTTGCTTGCAAGAGCTACAATACGACCTGTAATGGAAAGGAAACTGATCAGATGTTAGGAAGACACAGGGGCAACTTTGACCATCATTCATTTTCTGTACAAAACCATGATTGCATAGATTTTGGTATTTTTTATACATCAAACTCAGCTTTTGGGGTGTCATAAACCATCTATAGGAGCCCCCGGTGGCACAGTGGGTTCAACCTCTGTGCCGGCAGGACTAAAGACCAACAGGTCGCAGGTTCGAATCTGGGGAGAGGCGGATGAGCTCCCTCTATCAGCTCCAGCTCTTCATGCAGGGACATGAGAGAAGCCTCCCACAAGAATGATAAAAACATCAAATCATCCAGGTGTCCCCTGGGCAACATCCTTGCAGACGGCCAATTCTCTCACACCAGAAGTGACTTGCTTCTGACACGACAAATATATATATATATACCATCTATGGAAAGTTTTCAGCCAGCTCTCCTTGAGAGCTACCGAATAAGTATATTTTAACCTTTTTCTTCAAATTTGCTGCCATTCATGAATTTTTATCTGTCTCCCTATGTTTTTTGCCCATAGTACCACACAGTTTTTGATTTCTTCTGTTTCAGTTCCTCAAAATCTATGCTGGAAATGTAAAAAACAAATAGGAAGTTATTATCACATGTGGTGGACGTGGCCAGAAGCAAATAAATATTGGCGAGCTATACAAGAAGAGACTCAAAAAATCCTTTAAAAAAAAAGATTCGACGGAATCCGGAATATTTCCTACTAGGCCTCACAGACAAAGACCTAAATTTAAATAGTAACAAGGACATTCTCTTTACATATATCTCTACTGCAGCACGGATAACCTTCGCAAAACATTGGATGGACGAGCACATCCCAACAACCGAGGAATGGTTAGACAAACTATTAGAAATAAGAGACGTGGATAAATTAACGTTCTTCCTGAGAAACAGCTCTGGAAGACCAGTGAAACAGACGGATTGGACTGACTTTGAGGAATACGAGAAAAATATGAATGTAAAAGTAATTAAGATTTGAAATGGAGAAGCACAATATGTATGATATTGGTATGGTCGGGTGAAAACCAAAATAGGTTATGCCCCTGAATAGAAGGGAGACCATGTGATACCGGATGATGTACTGTTTGGAAATAGAATGGAAGTCACATTTTAATTTGTCTTTTTATATAGGTATGTATGTAGGTGTATGTATAAGTGTGTTTGTATGTATATGTGATGCACCCCCGAATTTTCCCCTTGTCACTCCCCCAACCCCTACCTATCCTTCTCCCCCCCCCACTTATTTTCTTATAACTTCAATAAAGATTATATTTAAAAAAACATGATTGCAGATCATTATGCACTTTCACAATGATAAAAGACAGGGAGGAAATCAATATTAAAAAAGAGATTTGATTTCAGAATGATTAAATATATGATAAAATCTCAGGATTTTATGCTACCATCTAAAGCACTGTAAGGACTATTATTTAATGTAAAGCTGATATGCCTCTACTCCAAGCAGCATTCTGTGCTAAGGAAGTAATTATGTTCTAAAAATGGAGCAAAGGCAGAGTTTAAATTAGCTATGCAAATCAATAACATGAACTCATACATTTTGTTTTGTCTATAACTCTTTAGCAGTCTGCTTTGTATGGAAAAATGTATATAGTTTTGTAGATTTTTTTTTTGCTATATGCTGGAAGAGCATTAAAAAAGAGTTGAGTGGTAAGTTGCATAAATACAACCCAAAAGGACATGGCAATTTACTATGCATACTAGGCAAATTCTGCTTTTGAAGAAAAGAGAGTCATTTGCATCCCATAGTCCCTTAGAGGTAGTGGCTGTTCAATTTCTTTTCACAGAGGCCTGTGAGAATAAATCTCTGCTCCACCCATCACTTTCTATTGGGAGTTTAGACATTCCACCTTTATTGATGGAATCATGTTTGCACTATAACAAATGCATCAGGGAGAACACAGCATTTCGGATTTCTCTTAGTGGACTTCCTATATGAAGCACATGTGACTCCAGATTCACTAAAAGATCTGTAGATTTATTTGTAACCTAAAAAGAGATAATAGAAGAATGTGAAAAAGATCTTGGAGTCCTGTGGACAACAAGTTAAACATGAGCCAACAATGTGATGTGGTGGCAAAAAAAGCCAATGGGATTTTGGCCTGCATCAATAGGAGCATAGTGTCTAGATCTAGGGAAGTAATGCTACCCCTCTATTCAGCTTTGGTTAGACCACACCTGGAATATTGTGTCCAATTCTGGGCACCACAATTCAAGAGAGATATTGACAAGCTGGAATGTGTCCAGAGGAGGGCGACTAAAATGATCAAGGGTCTGGAGAACAAGCCCTATGAGGAGCGGCTTAAGGAGCTGGGCATGTTTAGCCTGAAGAAGAGAAGGCTGAGAGGAGATATGATAGCCATGTATAAATATGGTGAGAGGAAGCCACAGGGAGGAGGGAGCAAGCTTGTTTTCTGCTTCCCTGTGGACTAGGGGGAAAATGGCTTCAAACTACAAGAGAGGAGATTCCATCTACAAAAATTAGAAGAAACGTTCCTGACTGGTACTGAGAAAGCCATTCACAGAACAGTGAGCAACTCTCTGAACATTGGTAGTGGATGTGGAGCTCCTTCACTTTGGAAAGCTTTAGAACGAACATAGGCACTGGGATGAGCCAATAAACTTCTGGAGTGATATTGCTTATACAAATATTCCTGCTTCTTAAGCAAGAAAATAGAGATTGTGGACTAGGAATAGAGCCCTATAAGGATCCTCTTCTCACTACTTCTAACTCTTTGATTCTAAATGAGTAAACCTTCCCACAAGATGACCCATACAACATGTTTGTTGGGAACAGAAAGTGCAATGGCCTTCTACAAAGGTGTGTGGCCCCCCACCTGTGGAATTCACTCCCTGGGGAAATTAGGTCATTGTCATCCCTCCTCACCTTTAGAAAGAAGGTAAAAACATGGATGTGGGATCAGGCCTTCAGGTAATTAGGCAGAAATGACAATTTACAATGTTGACAATGGCTTAGAAGTGGATTATGGATAAGTTAAACCGAGTACTCAGACAAATCATCCAGGCATCCCTTGGGCAATGTCCTTGCAGACGGCCAATTCTCTCACACCAGAAGCGACTTGCAGTTTCTCAAGTCTCTCCAGACACGACAAAAAATTATTATTATTATTATTATTATTATTATTATTATTATTATGTTTATTATGTTTATTATGTTTATTTATATCTTGCCTTTCTCTCCCCACAAGGAGACTCAAAGTGGCACCCTAAAAACTCTGCCAGTATTATTCCCAACTGAAAATGAAATAAACCTTGAAATGAGTCCAAATAATGAGAAAACAGGCAGAAAAAACAGTTGTTTGTATTTATTTGCAGAAAGATCTAGTACTAATGATGTGATGGTAATTTCCCACAATAAAAAAATCCTTCCTGCTGAGATTAATGAATCTCAGTAGAAGGCGGTTTTTGCCACAAGACACACTGCAAACAGCAGATCATGTCACTTAGATGATATAGTAGTAGTTTCAAGTCATTTCACAGCTGTAGTTCCTTGTCTTCTAGTTTTCCCACCAATTGCCCCTCTGTAGATATAACTGGCTAGAGTGGGCTTAATGGTGTATTCTGTGCATTGGTGTCAATCTATATTCTTTGGTAAGCAAACCTTTGGTTAGTTCTAAGCAGGTTAAAAAAAAAATTCATTCGGTGCAGCAATTTGTCTAACTCATAACATGATCCCCAACTCATAACATAATTTGTCCAACTCATAACATGGCTGAAACTCCCAATAGCGTACCAGTTTGAATTGCCTTCATTCCTAATGTGTGCCACATTCAAAGCCATTAACATACTTCATGTGTCCTGAAAGAATGACAGTTTATCAAGGGCTACACACACATTGTTTCTGCTTGTTTCAACTAATTTTGGAACGTAGAAAATCTCTTCAGGCTCATTACTGCTTTGACGTGGTAGAACCTTGAACTTGGTTGCCACAGTTGCTCTGGAGCTTCACATGATAAACACCCTCCAAGAGCAACAAGCTAATGTGTGCCATCAACTCCATGATATTAAAGGGCTTCCACATTTCACCTTTGGTAAGGTTCATCTCATGCCTTGAATACACACGACACCATCACATGCAGCAAAAGATAGTTTTGGTGGGGAACAGTCTAAAGCTTTCAAGCATTGTGTCTGTACATCTTTCCTTGATGCTAAATGTTCCTAATCTGTGTTATCTTTGTTTTGTTTTTTGCTGATCCTTGGTGGACTGTTGTAGATGTCTACAAATGATTCTTCCATCCCTAGCTCTCTTGCATCACTATCTCTGCTTCTATCAGAAACAATTTTATGGAATCAGATAGAATCCTTGCCTGGACAAAATCAAATGATCATGTACTTGCTGCCCTCCCACCTTTGCAAGACAGAGAGGTTGTTTCTCATCTAAGCAATGATACCAGTCTCTCTGGATCATGTTTTGATCAGAAAAAGGCATGGAGCATTATCTGTC